CCGCTCCCTGCTCTTGGGCCTTTACCGTATGGTTTAAGATAGGGGTTGTCATATATTTCTATGGTTGCGCTTACGCCTCCTCAGTTCCACCGAACACCCCTTTCTTTGCGGGAGAATGCGAAGACACAGCCGTTACGGCCGAGCTTCTGGCTCTCTTCTGGTCCCTTGCGTGGACCACAGAGCATGCACCATCCTATAGAGTCCCGGTGGAATTCCACTACGATGCCATCAGTGTCGGTGCTGGCTCCTTCGGAGACCTACGCGAGGTGCGCTATCCAAGGCCACCTCATGGCCCTCCACTCCCCAATTCAGTGACCTACATGAGGCAACTCGCCTCCTCAAGGTGCGAGCTTCTGCACTTCCATGTCAAAGGCCACGCAGGGCATTTTGCCAATGAGCTGACAGACAGGTTGGCCGGCCTCGCCAGAGCCGAGCCGGACGACTACTACAACCGCTGCCTGATCAATCATGAGCTCTCGCATTGGGCCTGGCTAGCAACTCAGCCCCAGGCAGATCTTCCCACAGTCTTTGCCCTGGAGTCAGAAGCTCGCAGACTACAGTATAATCCAGAACTCCCCGTCCTAGCCCCGATGGCAGGGATTCAAGTACAGCCACATGAAGCAGGCACAGTTCGTTATGATTGGGCCTGCATCTCCTACAATATCCTCACCCTGAGGGACAAGGCGCCGCGACAAATGGACATTGGCCCTCTCCAAGAACCAGCGGGCATGCGCCTCACCGGAAGACGCGCGGTGCTACACCATAGCTTGGCAGCCCACAGTCCGTTGTTCGTCGGACTCCAGGAGACGAGGCTGGCGGAGACCGCCACTTTACCGGACAGGGTGTATGATATGTTTCACTCGGGGTGCACCCCTGCAGGGACAGGGGGTTGCGCGTTGTGGGTGAACCGTAAGGTCCCCTACGCCGAGAAAGCTGGCAAGAAACTTTACCTGCAGCGTGCACATGCATCCGTTGCAGGTCTTTCCTCTCGGCATCTCAATGTTGCTTTTGTCGCTCCTTTCCTGAGGCTCTTTGTTATGGTGGCTCATGGCCCTTCAACAGCCAACGCCCCCCTTTCGGCCGTGGAAGCTTTCTGGAGGGAAAGAGCGCAAGACCTCCTCAGCAGGCCGCAAGGCATGGAATTTCTGCTCTTGCTAGACGCGAATGCGCGTGTTGGCAGTGTAGTGACAGACGCCACAGGTTCGCACAATGCTGAATGCGAAAATGAGGCAGGCAGCGTTCTGCAAACCTTTCTCAACCAGGTTGATGCCTTTCTTCCCTCCACCATGGAGGATTGTCATGAGGGGACAGGAGTAACCTGGTTATCAGGGCCACATATAGCACATAGGCTCGACTATGTCGGTCTTCCTCAGACCTGGAGAGATTTCGATCTAAGGTCAAAGGTTCTCGTAGGCTTTGAAAGCTTGCAGCTCCGAGAAGACCACAGGCCGGTCCTTCTGCACACTCACTATTGCCAACACGTCCACACTGGTGCCTACCGAAACAGCACCCGACGTGCTATGCGGCCCTCGGCAGCTGCTACGCCCGCCATTGCCGCCGACAGGGTAAAGTCCCTCGCTCGGCTTCAGTGCGCTACTTGGGACACGGCTATTGATGAGCAGTACAGGCATTTCGTTGCTACTTGGAGCCATGCCTGTCGTGCCATGCATTCCGCCCCGGACAGACAGCCAGTCCAATGTTTCTTGTCAGACACTGCCCTGGACTACATCGACCGCCGCAAGGCTCTAAGGCATTACCTTAATCAGGAAGAGGCCGAAAGAGTCAAGCGTTGCAAAATGATTGTCTTTGCGGCTTTTTTCCTTCACAGTCGAGGCTCCGTCTTTACAGCACGTGCCTTAGCCGCCGCCTCATCCTGGCTGGAACAGCTAGACCACAGCATAGCGAGGGCCGTGGCCTTACTGAGATACTTTGCCAATGCTGCCCGACGCCAGGTTGCAGCCGACCGCAGGGCCTACCTGCATGGACTTACCGAGCGGGTACAACTCAGCGACGTCAAGGACTCCCGAGCGTTGTATCAGGCAGTCAGGCGCGCCTTCCCCGCCGCTAAGTCAGCAAGACGGAGCAATCTTGTGCCTCTCCCGGCAGTGTACACAGCCGAGAACCACCTTGCACAAACGCCGGCAGACAAGCTTGAATGCTGGCGAAGTCACTTTGCAGAACAGGAGCTCGGACGTGTTGTCTCAGAGGGGGACTATTTACAACATTTCCGGACCAAAGCCACGCCTTCTGATTTCGTTTTCGATGTTGAAGTGCTACCCACTCTCAGGGAGGTGGAACAAGTGGTGCATGGTCTGCACAAGCACAAGGCAGCAGGCCCAGACGGAATGACCTCCGATTTGCTTCGCATAGCTCCGGTTCAGTCATCCCGACAACTACTGCCAGTTTTTCTTAAATCGGCGCTCATGCTGCAAGAGCCTGTGGAATTCAGAGGTGGCAACTTGATCTGTTTGGCAAAACGTGCAGGTGCGGCACTCCGCAGACAGGATTTCAGGTCCATCCTCCTAGCCGCAGTCCCCGCAAAAGTCCACCACAGACTTCTTAGGGGTCGGTTGTTACCCCTTCTCGCGGAGCACGGCCACCCGACACAGGCCGGCGCGAAGCCTGGTGTTGGCATCGAGACAGTGTCACTGCTCGCCAGAACTTTCCAGACCGCGCATCAGCAGCGCCATAAAGCTTGGTCGATAACGTTTTTCGACCTTCAAGCAGCGTACTATAGGGTGGTGCGTGAACTACTCGTCCCCACGCAGCTATCCGATCGGGCGCTACGTGAACATCTTCACCAAGCGGGTGTGCCGCCTGCAGCTCTACAGGAGCTATCCGGACAGCTTGAGCGTATTGCGGCCCTGCCCAATATGGGCTCATCGCCACATCTCACTGAGCTTGTTCGTGATCTTTTTCATGCCACATGGTTTCGCATGGATCTTGGCGACCTGCTTACCTGCACAGCACGCGGAACGAAGCCAGGAGATCCCACAGCGGACGTCTTGTTTTCCATGTCATTCGCTGCATTTCTGCACTCGACGGAGGAAGCATTACGGAAAAAAGGGCTCCTTGCTGCTCCGCTCTGTGAAGCAGAACGACCATCGTGGTCCACAGCCCCCACAGAGGCTACACTTGGCATGCCTGCCTGGGCCGACGACTTCGCACACCTACAGAACGCCCCATCATGCTGCTGTCTCCTGGACAGGGTACGTGCCACCACCAGCGTCATACAGGAGAAGGCCACTGCAGTCGGCATGCGGCTCAATTATGCCGTGGACAAAACCGCTGTCCTCTTACCGCCAGGCGTGGATTGGCAGGTGTTTGGGGCTTACCATCCAGACCCGGGACAGCCCCTCTGCATAACTGTCAAAGATGCTCTCAGCCAGGAGACACATCTTCTGCCGATAGTCTCAGCCTACAAGCATCTAGGCAACATCCTGACCAGTTCGACCGATCCACGTCCTGATCTGGCATACAGGGCCTCCCGTGCCCTCGGGATTGCTCGGTCGCTTGGCAAGCGGCTCTTCAGCAACAGGCAGATCCCACTGGTTACAAGGCGGCTGCTATTGAGATCACTCGCGATCTCGCGCTTTGTTCACTCTAGCGCCTCGCTCTTGCTAACCGCAGCCATCCACCAGAGAGCGTGGGACAAATCCTACGTGCAGATCTGGAGGTCCCTTTTGCCCAGGGTCTCGGAGCATAAGACGCCCCACAGCTTTGCTGTTCTTCGTGCAGCACAAGCCGCGTCACCGCCCCTCGCCCTTGCCAAGGCCAGGGCCGGTTTCCTACAAAGACTCACTCTACATGGCCCTGCGATCCTGCGTGCTTATCTCTACGACCACTGGACTGTTCGCCCGCAGGGTTCTTGGCTCCACCAGCTCGAGGATGACATTAAGATTGTCATACTGTACCAGCCCCGGGTACGAGCGTTGCTGGATATGTCGGAGCCGGCGCTCTCTCTTCTGGATGCCTACCATGCAGAGCCGAGCTGGTGGCCCCGCCAGGTCAAGCACGCGGAGCGAGCCTTTCTGGCAGAACTGGAGAAATGGGCGGAGCAAGCCGCGACTGCGCCGCCGAAGGATAACAAAGATGCGCCATGCCAGGAGGACCCAGCATCGGCCCCCAGTGACGCAACCCCTTTTTGTTGTCCGATCTGCCCTTCAGCTTTTCGGTTGAGGAAACATTTGGGAGTGCACCTCGCCCGATCGCACTCCATCCTCTCGCCAGCGCGTCACTACGCTTTTGATGTCTTCTGTGTCTCATGCCACAAATGGTTCGGCACGATCACGCAGGTACAACAGCACCTTAAGCATAATGGTTCGTGCTTGATCAGAGCGTGCGAGATACTGCCGCCCTTGCCTCTTGAAGACATCAAGAGGGTGGAGCACTTAGACAAGACACAAGCCCGACAGCTCAGGAAAGGAGATTGGAAGGCCTACAGGGGGGTTCAGCAATCCTCTCAAATGCTGGGACCACGGATTCCCACAGCCGAAGAGAGGTTTCAAGGCACGGACTACTTGGACGACGAGACTTTAATCTCACAGCTGCAGAGGACGTACAGACCCTCTGCAGCCACGAGAGACTGGATTGCCACACACGTTGGCGGTCGGTCGAAGGAAGGTCCTCGTTGTACGGCCAAAAAATACTGGCACGTCCGGCCTTCGGTTTCACACTGAATTCATCGATTTTGGGACGCGCCACCTCGGTGGCCCGACTGTCCGTATCCATCCATCCTATACTATATTGGGGTTCCTAGAGCTTGCATTATAGTTAGAGTGCAATCTACCCCAAAGCCCTAGTCAAATGATTAAGGCCCCTGCCCTACATTAAACCCTAACCCCCAAAGCTGCCGAAAAAGAGACGGCAATTTCAAAAACCATAAACCCTACACCCTAAACCCTAAACCCAAAGCTCCCTAAAAAGACACCGCAATTTTTAAACCCTAAACCCTAAACCCTGAATCACAAAGACACCGCAATTTCCTCAAGCCCAGGGGCCGACTCGGGATCTTTGTACTTGCCTCGGCCGTTGCGGGTCGGGGCTGTGGCAGGTCGAGCAGGGCATACGAGTATAGGGTTTAGGGCTGTAGGGCTTAAAGTTTAGGGGTTTAAGGTTTCGGGCTTTAGGGTTTTAGGGTTTAGGGTTTGGGGTTTCAGGGTTTAAAGTTTAGGGTTTTAGGGTTTAGGGTGTAGGGTGTAGGGTTGGAGGTTTAGGGCTTTAGGGTTTTAGGGTTTAGGGTTTCAGGGTTTAAAGTTTAGGGTTTTAGGGTTTAGGGTGTAGGGTGTAGGGTTGGAGTTTAGGGTTTAGGGGTTTAGGGTTTAGCGGTTTAGGGTTTTAGGGTTTTAGGGTTTGGGTTTAGGGTTTTAGTGTTTAGGATTTAGGCTTCAGGGTTTTAGAGTTAGGGTTTAAGGTTTAGGGTTCAGGGGTTTGGGGTCTAGGGCTCAGGGCTTAGGGCTTTAGGGGTTAGGGGTTTAGGGTTTAGAGTTTCATCCGGACTTGTGTGGTCGGTCGGTCCGCGGGCAACGAGGCTAGCGATAGGATTGCAGGGTTCACGGCTTAGGGCTTAGGATTCAGAGTTTGGGGTTTAGTTTAGGGTTTAGGGTTTAGGGTTTAGGGTTTAGGGTTTAGGGTTTAGGGTTTAGGGCTTAGGATTCAGAGTTTGGGGTTTAGGCGTAGGCTTTTACTGTTAGGGTTTAAAGTTTTTTAGGGTGTTTCGACTTGGGTTTTCGACTTGGGTTTAGGATGATTAATTAGTATAGAGGCCGTAATCATTACAATAGAAACTTGGCAGAATCAAGAGTACAATCTGGTGGCTACAGAAGGGGATATCTACTGTTCATCCTGCCCTAAACCCTAAACTGTCAGTTCTTCACGCCTTTTGTTGATGGTTCGTCAGATCGGGCCATGATCTCCACCACTACACCGTAGACAGCCATGATCTCCAAACCCTGCACCCTAAACTCAACAACCCCTAAGCCCCCAAAACAGTAAAACCCAAAAGGCGCTAAAGCCGTAAGTCAAAAACCCTAAACCCAAAAAAAACCCTAAACCCTAAACCCTAGAAGCCCTGAGGTTTTGGGACTTTTGGGGCATTGGAAGCTCAAGGGCTTGCAAACTCAAGAATCTGAATACTCTCACAAATACTGAAAGGGTTTAGGCTTTGAGGGTTCAGGCTTTTGTTTCGTTAAGTTTAGGGTTTAGGGTTTAGGGTTTGACGGTTTAGGGTTCAGGGGTTGAGGGTTTAAGGTTTAGGGTTTGAGGGTCCATGTACATTTACAATAAACAGATAAGGGTCTGTTTCTTCTGGGGTAGCTCAAGGCCCAAGCCAACTTTTAGGAACCCCCAAAACGGGCATAAGCATAAGCATGTTAAGAGATATCCCTACCTTTTTGGGCTTCATTATAAGGGGGTTGATATATGGGATATCCCTATCCTAATTTTTGCTGATGTGCTTTTAGGTGGAAACCCTAAACCCTAAACCCTAAACCCTAAACCCTATTTTTAGGAACCCCTTTACGGGCTCAGCGTGTGGCGGCGTTTCGGGAGATTCGGGCTTAAACTGCAAAAGCCGAAACCCCTGTAAGGCCGAAGTATATTAGTTTAGGGTTTAGGGTTTAGGGTTTAGGGTTTAGGGTCTAGGGTCTAGGGTTTAGGGTTTAGGGTTTAGGGTTTAGGGTTTAGGGTTAGTTCTAAGTTCGGGTCCCTTTGGGGATCCTTTACAAGCGTGCCGTGCTAGATTTGGGACCTAAGAAGGGACCCTAATTTAGAGAACTACCCATATACTAGATGGGTTCACATGGACCCTCAGTGACTCAGGGTTTAGGGTTTCGAGCTTAGCGTTGTCAAGCTGTGCTTCAAGGATAGAATTACTTAGTACGTCCATGAAGGGACCTAATGCTTGGGTTATGTAGAACTCAGGGAAATTAAATTCGTCTGCATGGTGAAATTATCAAGTTCCCCGACAACATTGGTAAGAAAGCGACCTGTAGATTCCTATTATTGCACTAATTTCGGAAAGCAAACTGGGCTCCTGAGGTACTGCCGGGTCGCTTCACAAACGAGAGACTGCTCAAAGGAACAACATGTTTAGCAAGAATGTCATAGTAAGGAGGGTTGCAAGCGCTGAAATAGTCGCGGCACTGTGCATGTCATCTTACTCGACCTACGAACAAAGTCCCCTGATGCTCTAAGCAGCAGCCCAACGAGGGAAGTGTCTTGCCATGCCAAGAACACTCCGCAAGTTAGGTTCTGAAGGGTCCAAAGGACCTGGTATGTAGGTACTGAGGTTAAGGATAGCTGTTTTGTAGGTTAGTACTTGGGAGAGCACAAACTGTTGATGATATACAGCCTGCATTACCGTAAGGACCCTAAACTATGGGAGTTAATTCTGGTATATTCCTAATTATATTGGGAAGTGCAGGGTTTTGTATCATCAACCGTATGACAATTCGATTCTTCTGTACTTGGACTCTCAAGGTGACCCTAAGGGTCCATGTACCCAAATAGTATATACTTTGGCCCCAAAGTACCCATATAGGGACTACTTGAAGGTCAAAGTATATACTGTTTGGGTACATGGACTCTCGAGGTGAGGGATTGAATGATGTCCTAGCACCTCAAAGCCCATCCCTGGGCTCAGTTCAGCGTTTAGGTTTAGGGTTTGGGGTTTAGGGTTTTGCGTTTTGGGGATTAGGGTTTAGCGGGAACTTCCAAAACCCAAAAACCTACCTGGACCCTAAAAGTTAGGCAGAGTAATAGGCTTTTATTACAGGTGTTGGGCAATTATTTTACCTACTTCGGGGGTGGGTGTAGGTAAACCCTAAACCCTCAACCGAAATCACAACTTGATCAAGCAGCCACTTGGGCACGGGTTCACGCACTCTCCATTCTTCAGCTCGACGCCTCCGCGTGTTTTCGGGGAGTGTTGCCATACAGTTGTGGGCCATCTTCGGGGTTCTCATGGAGTTTTGGGACTTAGGGCTCTAGGGCTCTAGGGCTTTAGGACTCTAGGGCTTTAGGGCTTTAGGGATTTAGGGCTTTGTTGGGGTGTTTTTTTGGGTTCCATGGAGCTGCAATGGGAAATTCTAGAGGCGGAAGGAATTCGGATTGTTTTCAGCGCCAAAGTGGGGGTTTCCGAAAATAGGGGACCCTAATATAGCACCCTAAATAGTAGGATCCTTATTATAAGGACCCCAAGATAAGGTACCCCTAATTTAGAGAACTCCCCAAGTCGGCCCCCTGGCCTGTTGGAGTCTCTCTCAACAGGGACAACACTCCTCAAGGACGAAATGACCCTTAAGTAGGGGCCCTATACCCATATACTAAGGTATATGAACCTTAAGCCCTTTTAGGGTTCATTTCGTCCTTAAGGCTGACATGTGGTGTCTAACGCTCTGTATTTACTGTCTCGGAGGCTGTTCTAGGGAAGCATTCGTGAGAAATCACCAATGCAACCGCTCTCAATCATTGTAGTGCCTTTGCCACGCTGACTCGTCACATTGGCCGGGTTAGCATCTGAAGGTAGGGTGCGCAGGCATTTAGACTCAGCACAAGTGGCCTTCGGGATCATCACGACCCACAGCATGTCACCACAAACCAAAATGTGGATATGCCGAACACTCAAACCCTTTTATCCCTAAACTCCTACAAAATAAACCCCAAAACTCCGGCACCCTAAACCCTAAATCCTAAAACTCAAAGGCCCGAAACCCTAGACACCTAAACCCCCACGCCATAGACCCAGACCGTAGACCCCCTAAACCCCATGGCGTCCACAGCGAACTCCAGAAACTTGGAACACGGGTTTCGGAGAATTAGTGCTAGGATCCCTTATAGTTTACCTTAAGGGTACCAGGATAACGATGTTCCAACTTTCCGGGTTCTAAAGTATAGAAGGCACCCTGAACCCTAAACCCTAAACCCTATGCCCTGCCAGGGGGGTTTATAGCGGAGGTTGGGCTTGCTCGAGCTAGAGTTCAAGAGATTTAGGGTTTAGGGGTTTAGGGGTTTAGGGGTTTCGGGGTTTAGGGTTTAGGGGTTTAGGAGTTTAGGGTTTAGGGTTTAGGCTTTACTGGTTTAGGGTTAACTTTAAATGGGTTTAATTAGGGGTTTAGGGTTTACGATCTACAGGGCTAGGGGTTTTAGGTGATCCGCCGACACCTGTCGCTAAATTAAAAAAACTCCACAATTACAAAGGGCAAACCGGTACTGCTGGGAGATGGGGAGACCGAGACATCTTTGTACTAAAGGAGTAAGACAGGCACAGTTCATTTCTTGCAGAAGTCATATAGACAGACTCATGCTCAACTTCGATGCCAGATAGCCACATGCAAGCTGTCAACGGCGTGCCTGGTAGCCATGAGACACTGCAAGCCTTAACCTTAACAAATCAATGCTGAAGGCCGAACACCTGGGAATCACGGCAGGCCCAGAAAAATCGAATGATATGGGAACCAAATAGGTTAGCTATAGAGTTTCAGTTGCAACTACCTCTACCACCACTTACTTAAGGTAGTTCTTACATCCACGACTGAACCCTATCCATGCAACCAAGCTCGCAACTCAAGGAAGATGCCCTTTTCCACGAACCTAGAGGATGCTACAGGCAGGAAGACCCTACACTCGCAGGCATAAGCCCCCAAAAGTCAGGACCCTAAATCCTACAAGCCATCTATGCCCCAAACTGCCGGGACCGTTTTCCCAAAATTGATAAATCTGAGCCACTATAGAACCTGAAACCCCAGAACCCTTAACTCGGAGAACCTATATAGCCCATATAAGTCCTGAAATGTCTGAGTTCCATGTGCCCTGAACCAGAAAGCCACCTGCAACGGCAGGCCTGGGTCACACTCTACGGCCTGAGGCTCAGCAGCGCCGTCCCCGAGGTCAATCAGAGAGCTAATAAGAGCCTCAGAAGGCTGTTTTTTGCCGGGTTTTTACCATGGGTCCTATGAAGGGTCTTGGCGTCAAGTAGGGCAATCAGAGAGCTAAGAAGAGCCTCAGAAAGCTTTTTTGCTGGTTTTTACATGGGTCCTATGTGGGTCTTGGCATCAAATCGGGCTTCATGGCCAGGGATTTAGGTTTGAGGCTTGCGCTCAGGGATTAGGGCCTTGGGTTCGCGGTTCACCGACCGGTTCAAAGACGTTAAGGCTTGAGGGCGCATGAAAGCTACCCTCAACCCTAAACCCTAAGTCCTGAACCCTGGGTCCTAAACCCTAAACCCTAAATCCTAAAACCTAAGCCCTAAATCCTAAACCCTGAATCCTGAATCCAGCCTAAACCGTAAATCCTAAACCCTGCATGTTTCCTGAATCCTAAATCCTAAACCGTTACAGGGCTTCTTGTCGGCTCGGGTTACGGTTCAGGCTGAGGATCGGCGTCTCGCTCGGGGTTCAGGTTCTTGTCGGGTTTAGCGTTCAGGGTTCAGGGTTTGCATGGGGCTTAGGGTTTGAAATTTAGGGTTTGGGGTTTAGGGTTTAGGGAGACAGGTTCAGGGTTTAGGGTTTATAGGGTTAAGGGTTAAGGGTTAAGGGTTCGGGGTTTAGGGTTTGGGGTTTAGGGGCTAGGTTCTGGGCTACAGGGGCGTACCTTTCAGAAAGGAACGTGGGGATTGCGTTGCAGGAAGCCTTGTCGGAAAAGTGTAGGAACTTCTGATGGTTACCCACAGGCCCTAAAATAGTTCCTTTTGGGGGTTCATATATAGAGTCCTATAAGGTAATCCCAAAAAAGGGACTACTCTGGGGCCCCTAAACCCTAAACCCTAATCCCAAAAAGGAACTACTATGGGGCCCCTAAACCCTAAACCCTAATCCCTAAAAGGGACTACTAGGGGGCCTATAGGTATCTACGAATCAGGCATCTTGGGAGTCTGACGTCTGCGCCCCGCCCCTGAGAGCAGGAATCCCCAACCTTTGGGCGCCCTAAACCCCAAACCCCGAAACCCAAAACCCCTGAACCCCTAAACCCTAAACCCCAAACCCCCAAAACCCCTAAAGGCTAAACCCCTACACCCTAAACCCTAAACCCTATAAACTCTAAACCCTAAACCCCTAAACGCTAAACCCTATATACTCTAAACCCTAAACCCCTAAACCCCTAAACCCTAAACCCTATAAACTCTAAACCCTAAACCCCTAAACCCTAAACTCTTAACCCCAAACCCCCTAAACCCATAGAACTGGGGCCCAGGAACCGCCTTTTGAGGAGCCGTGCACTTCTTCGTTCCAATCGAGCAATGCTCGCAAGTGCCGTTGACACCGTTCTTGCCTGTCTTCTCCCAAAAGCCTGAGAATCTTTACTTGGGGGAGAACGAGGACATGAAAGGGTTCTACAGAATTCCGAAACCCGAGACCATACACTGGTTTTGAGAACACACTGGTCCTCCGCGTAAGCGGTCGTGTAACCCAAGATGGCATGGTCAGGGACTCACGGCCGATAGCTTAAACACTATAAAGCATGATCAACATAATAATTCATTGTAGTCGCATTATAAAAGTAAAAGATAAGTCCTAAGAACACTACAGTCACTAAAGATGGTCGATAGGTCTTGCTGCTGGTTGCCTGAACCTTGGGGCCTTCGATTTTAGGACTCACTCCGGCCTCTAAAAGACGTATAGTCTCCATCGTAGTCCATTTTCCGGGTCATTAAACCAGTCCCCAGATCCTGCATTGTACATAACCCAAAAAAGGAACTACAATGGAGAGTACAGGTAGTAATTACTTCGGGCGTTTTGGGGTGTTAAGGAACGGCATCAACATCAACAGCAATCCACAGCCATGAACCCCTCGGAGCTCTACTTACCCCATGGAATTCTGGGAACCCTAAACCCTAAACCCTGAACCGTGGAATTCTAAACCCTAAACCCTAAACCCCTTTCTCTTCCAGGAGACCTACGAAGCACATAGGCTACCCCATAGATTGGCGGCAAAACAAGACTGATGAGTTGGGGTGTGCATACAAGTTTGCATCCTTTTTTTGGCATTGTGGCCGGTGTACTTCAGGGTTTAGCCCCCTGAAGCCCTAGACCCTAAACCCTAAACCCTAAACCCGATAGGGAAAAGCTATCGGGTTCACTGCGGCCTGGGGCTTCGAAATTGCTGGGGTGCTCTGTGTATCAGTGCTTCGGGCTCAGGTAAGGACAGGAGATGTAAGCGTTCGGCTTAGCCTTACGACGGTATAGGTGGTTATGGTATGGGGGCTGTTCTGGGATATTGCTAATGAATACGGATGCTCCCCGGTCAATCGAACGCTAAACGAACGTTCTGCGATGGGAAGCCCCGTCCCAGCTATAGTCTGCATATAATAGCTTAAACCCGATTCGTCCACCGACGCACTGAAGATCACACACCCAGGACCCTAAATCCCAACCCCTAACCTCAAGCACTAAACTTAGCCTGAACCCCAAACTGTAAACTCCCAGCTCTGAAGCTCTTAACCCTTCACTTGTGTGATAACAGCTGTGACTCGGGTCGGTTATTGTGAATAAGACCTTGAGAAATCTGAGCTTCAACATTCGAACTTTGTCTAAGGGATTAGGATTTTGGACAAGCTCAAACCCCTTGACCCTGGAACCCTCGATCTTTACAGCCCACAAGACCACGATTCGCAGGGAATCATTCTGGCTCTTTCACTATGCAACAGCAAGTTTAAAGGGCTGGCAGTACGGTAGACGCAGCACGTAAGCCCTCTATCCGTCGCAAGGGCAACCACAGGGCACAAGGACCCGGTCCGTCGTAAGGGCTTTCATAGGTCACAAGGACCTCGTGCACTTTTACTTTCAACACAACTGGCTGATTGAGGGTTCAGGTGCTTACAATGTGTGTCAAAGATATTCTAAACACAATGCGCTGGCAACATTAGATGTCTGCAGCCGGGCGACCGTCTGGACATTTTGCTTCACACGTGCCGTTTCTGAGCAGCATTTTATTCCTCGGATGTTGCAACAGCAGATGAAACCCTAAACCCTAAACCCTAAACCGGATGGTGCAGAGCTGAACACTATCGCAGTTGTCATTACTGAGGCACGACATCCCATGGTTCAGGAACCGGTGGCTGATGCACGCCCTGAGAACCCAATACCCCTTTAATTACGGAATATACCTTAAGTTATAGGGGCCCTAAGTTTGGATTTAAGGTAATTAGATCCCAAACCCTAAACAATAAACCGAATTTTATGATTCAAGGTCTATTCCTCATAATTAAAGGGTATTGGGTTCTCTGGGCGGGTGGCTCTTGCGTTGCTCTTCCACCCACGTGTGGCTCCCTAAACCCTAAACCATAAAATCCTCGAACCGTTCCCGACTCCAAGCTTGCCGCTTGTTGGTCTGGTCCGAAACTTCGTTCATATGTGTGGTTGTCAAAATTATGGTCCTTTTTTGGGTCCGTAATATAATACGGCACCTATTATTGAGGGTACCCCAAAAGGGACCCTAATTTTGACAAGCACCCATATAGGTTTAGGGTTTAGGGTTTAGGGTTTAGGGCGGCATACAGCCAAAGACTGTCTCAAACTGATCTCCAGGCCGTGGCCGCTTGACTAGCACTCTTTCCCTGAGAAAGACCTGAAGTAGAACACTGCTTTGCGCAGCTTTAGGGGCAGGCACCATTGAAAATACCACCTTAACCTGTAGGTCTTCAGCCTTACATCCACCGACGGGCACAGAATAATAAAGGGACCTTAATAATTAGAATAGGGTTTCGGGGGGGTATATTAGAATATACTGTAACTAAAATATATAAGGACCCCCCCCCAAAGAAAAAAATGCAAAACTAGTATAGGTAACTATTTAGGGAGCCTAGATTAGCCCAAAACCCGAAACCCTAAACCGTTAGCAACACGAAGAGAACCCGAAAGCTTCGCTTTTAATGGCTGTGGAACAGAGACCTAGGCCTAAAACCCACAACAAACTTGGGATTAGGGTTTAGGGTTTCAAGGTTCAGGGTTTAGGGTTGAAGGAACTTGGGATGTCTGTCCCCAAAACCCTGAAGCCTAAAGGCTGAACCCTGAAAACTGAAACCCTACTGCGACGCTCAAAAACCCCGTGACCCTCAGACCCTGCAGCCCTAAAACTCTCAAGCTCCAAAATTTGAACCCAAACTTACCAAACCCAAAGCTCTGAACCCCTAAAACCCTAAACCTTTAAACCCTGAACCCCAAGCCCAAGCCCCTGGGCCCTACCACATCCCCAGCTTACTTACACCCTGAAAAAGCCAGCGGCTCGCATAGCCTAACCCTAAAGCCTAACTTACCAAACCCTAAACCTTAAGCCCTATACTAGAGGAAACTACAGATGGGGAGTTCAGGGTATATAGGCTTCTACAAAGTATGTAGACCTTCTAGAAGGCTCACCTGAAAATGTACTAGACTGAACCTTAAGCCCTATACCCTATGGCACAACCCAAACCCCGAAACCCTCACTTACTAAACCCTCAGCCCTTTTAAGCGAGCGGCTCGCAGAATTTCCCTTTCGGAACCCTACGCCCTAAACCCAACACTTTGAAGCGAGCGGCTCGCAGATCCAAAACCCCTAGACTCTCAATGAAACCCCTAAACCCCAAACCCCTAGACCCTAAATGGAACCCTAAACCCTAACCCTAAACCCTACATAGAACCCTAAACCTTAAAGCCTAAACCCTACACCACTAACCTTCGAAAAAGCGAGCGGCTCGCAGACCGTGCATTCCTTGTTCGTCAAGCACTCCCGGCAGTCTCCGACGCAGAGCTCGCAGGTTCCACCCACCCTCGGCCAAGGAGAGCGTTCCTTTAAGGGTTCTGAAGGTTTAGGGTTTAGGGTCTAGGGTTTAGGGTTTAGGGTCTAGGGTTCAGGGTTTAGGGTTTAGGGTCTAGGGTTTAGGGTTCCTGTAAGGTTTTAAGGTGTTAAGGTTTAGGGTTTAGGGACCCTTTGCAATGAGGGTTCCTTTAAGGTCCGTTTAAGGTTTATACGGGTTTAGGTTTAGGGCTCCAACCCCACCTTGTCGCAAGGGTTCTACACTTCATTATGCGGGGCTTTATCATAAAGACCCTAATGCAGCAGAGACAACAAAGAGCCCCAGAACCCAAGAACCCTTCCCTGACCCGAAACCCTAATGTATGGGCCTTCATAATTAGAATAGGGTTTTGGGCTCCGTTATAATATGGTTATGATAAGGAACCCTAAGGAATAAGATTAGTAATTTTTTGGGCTTCTAGATTATGCCAATCTCCTAAGCAATCCCAAAAGCCCCCCGAACTCCAACACTTTCGAATCGCAACCCTGATACCCCAGACCCTGACTTCCCAAGCGCCCGAACAGCCTTGGAGCCTGCGAAACCAGATGTGGGCGACTTCAACCCTTCTTGGTGGCCCAGGGGACTTAGTAAGTAGGTTATAAGTAGAGTTATAAGTCCCCTAAATGGAGTTACCCCAATTATAACTCTACTTACAACCGACTTACTAAGTCCCCTGGGCCTCCAAGTAGAAATCCCAAAACGCCAAACCCGACTGCAAACACCAAATTAGGGAGACGTAGTTTTCCCTAAGGCTCCATGTACCTTTATAGTCGATACTTAGGCCTTAAAGTACCTATATAGGGACCCCCCCTTTAAGGCCGAAGTATCGCCTATCAAGGTACATGGAGCCTGAGGGATAATTACCAATATTATTCCTTAGGGCTCCTTAGTGGAACTATCCTAAACCCTAAACCCTATAACCCTAAACTAATAATATACCCCTTATTCGAGTTATCCTAGACCTTCAGCTTGGGGACAACATGCCGTTCGAGGCAGTGAAGTTGGACGTCCTGCAACCAAGGCCACAGGCAGGGTCAGGCTCAGACCATTGAAGCTTAGGGGTTTAGGGTTTAGGGTTTTAGGGCTTAGGGTTTAGGGTCTACGGTTTAGGGTTTAGGGTACCCTCCAAAGGAGCCCTAAAACCCCTTGATAGAGTTCCTGTAGATCCTTTAAAGGAGCCCTAAAGCCCGTGTGGAACCCCTGTAAATCCTTGAAAGGAACCCGAAAACCCCAATCGTTTCTAGGATGTTGGGCAATAGGTGAATGGGGCTCTTACGGCATAAAGGTTTCAGGGTTGTGGGTCGTTAGGGTGTTAGGGCTGCTTACCTGCCTGAGTCAGTAGAACTTTAAACTTTACGATTCAGGGATTTCAACTAGCAGTCAGGCAAAAAAGGACCAAGACCCCCGACACCCTAAACCCTAAACCCTCAACCCAAAACCCAAAAACCCCAAACCCCAAAACCCTAAACCCTAAACCCTCAACCCCAAAACCCTCAAACCCAAAACCCCAAAACCCTAAACCTACAGCTTTGCGCTTGGGCTTCTGGAGGCCGGGAGCCTTCGACTCTTTTGTGGTCAACCAGGTTTAGGGTTTAGGGTTTAGGGTTTAGGGTTTAGGGTTTAGGGTTAGGGGCTCAGCTCAAGCATACAGATATTGGGTCCAGACCTTTTTTCTGTTCTGCTTAAGTGTTTTGGTTGATTTTTGGGGAGGGGGGTTTGTTTCCTCATAGCCTCAGGGGCCCGCGTCTTCGGTCTTTCCGTGTTTTGGATTTTTGGCTGCGAACGTCTGGCGGCCCAAACCCAAAACTGTCGGGATGAGATACGAGGGGAGCTGCATGGGTTAGGGTTCAGGGCTTAACTATGGTCTAGGGGCTGAGTGCCGTAGCCCCAAAAAGGTTAACCTTTCAAGAATAGTACGATTATATATGCCCAAAAGGTTTGCAAGTACAAGAGAGCCCGAAGAACCCCCAAAAGAGTTTTGGTATTTATTTAGCATGACGCAGAGTTTGCTGGCACACGTCACACTTCCAGATCCAGCGACCCTGCCGATCCTTCTTGCATCCCCCACGCCGTGTGGGCCTGTCCGCGCCCATCTGTCCCGCCAAAGTAGGAAACAGCGAGCGAGGGAGATCGCCATGAACACGGTTGATGTGGTTGTCCCGCAACTTGCTGAGCTTAGGCTTAGAGGAAGAGACAAAGGTCGCACTGCACATCGAGCACGGCCACTCAACCTTCGCAGCCTCTTTCTTGGGAGTTCGTTTGGCTCTCTTTCGGGTGACCTGGAAGGCGCAGAGGCTGTACTTGCTCCAGCTCGGCGGCTCCTGGAGCGGCCACCTACAGTAAGACTCACTAGAAGAGACCCAAGTCACGAACGGCCTCAAGTCCCGAAGCCTAAGCCCTCCATTGATAATCCTAAGCCCTGAAGCCTCAATTCCCAATCCGTAGACCCGAATGTAGGGGTCTTGCTACTTAGAATAGGGTTTGGGGTTTACTGTACTATAATTATAATAAGGAA